CCAACGTTCGAGGTGTGAAGAAAAGAATTTTTCTGTGCAATAATCTTGATGCCTTTTTAAGATTTGTTGCTCTGCTGTGTTCCTTAGTTGGAGCTGGACGTGGAGCTGCATTTCTGTTGTTGTCTTCGTTTCGTTTCGGTTGAAAAATGGTTTTGGGGGGCTTAAGAAAATTTACGCCATAAAATGTGAAAATAATTGGATACACACACACACACATACAGAGAGAGAGCTCCTTTTTTGAATGCATTTCAAATTGCTAATGATGAGAAGAGCGAAGGTTCAAGTCAAAGTGCTGCAAGTCTTGGCCAATTGCCGCAGATTCCTTCCGTGAGACAAGCTCAACACACACACACACACAGCCACAAAAAAAGAGGAAAAGAAGAAGAAAATAAAGTACTGGGCAAGTCGACTGTTGCAGGCGCGCAGCCAAGCATTAAATGCATTTATTTATGAGCTCTCTACCCTCCTTTTGATATAATCTTGGCTAAGAAAATTGACGGCCCCATATGCATACGATGCGCATATTATGATATTGAATTTAACTAGAATTCACACCTTGAGGCCCGTTGAATGCCCCTTAAACCATATACACAAGCATATATCTTTATATACATATATACATATATATCTATCTATATCTGTTAAGCATAAGGCCAAGCCGCAACTCGTGTTTAGCTGGAAAAACGACTTCAACTGTTTTTTGCGCGTTAAATGTAATGGAAAATCTAGTCGAGGTTCCGTTGTTAATAACAATAATAGTGCTAACAATAATGAGCAATGAGGCCAACCAATTTCATGGCATATTAAGCATCATTCATATAATCAAAGTTAGCCACAGCCAGCAACTCCTTTGAAGTCTTCGAACCAGCTGTAGCCGTAGTTCTAGCTGTTGGATTATATGGTTAGACCTTCTTAAGAAGGAAATAATAAATCACATTTTTAATCCTCTTAAGAGTTTTGCGAGCATCATAAATTGCGCACAATATGAATCATAAATTCCTATTATAAGTTGATCAGGCAATGTGTAGGACAGTGAAGAAGTCAAAGATTAGCTCAGAGTGGTGAGAAATAGAGAACATTAAGATCTATATCAAACATAAGCAAAAGGAATATAGGAGAGATATGTATGTTAAACATAAACATATATGACATATAGATATAAGATCTACATATACACAGAACACATACATGTAAGTACATGCATATAGAAGTCTATTGGATCGGACCACTATATATTATATAAATATGAATCATATATTAGTTTTGAATATGATAAATTTACTTATTTGCATTTTTTATGGCTCTAAATGGAAAGCAATATCCGCCTACTACTCAATATAGCTGATAAAGAAACAGTTTATCTATAATAAAAATTATTTTTTTTTAGTCTTTCCATCTTTATCTATAAAACGTTCCTAATGAAATGTGCCATCATTTAATTAGTAGCTACATTATATATCACATATATCATATTCTAACTGATCGGTATATATTCCAATAAATATCCATTAATTTTAAGTTTCTGATATGATAAATTGATGATTTTAGACAGAGATATGAGAATTATATATTATACAGATATATATATATATTATATACATTATTTTAATGAAATATAACTTGACTAAAATATAATTTCTGTATAAAACATCGTTAAGTTTACCTAAAAAATATAGCTATATATTTTATAAGTCTCTATCTTCTTTGTTTCTACATTATTATAACTCATTAATTAAAGATTAAAAATTAAATCTCTTAAAAACTTGATTTAAGTATAAGAAATTTAAGTATATAAAAAAATTGTATTTTAGTATTCAATTTGCTATACGTATATAAAGTTTTTTAACCCGTATCTACAATTTTTCATACGAGTTACTTTTTCCAGTTCTCTCGACACGATCGTTAAACAAATCTTTATACTTGGAACGTGGCTTTCGCGCTAATTCATAAATATTTTAGCACATTACGAATCTTGGTTGAGTGCAAACAATATGCAATAAAAAAAAATTAAAAATCAACTTGAAGTAGACGTTGAAGAAGAAGCACAAGGTACTCAGAATGCGGTTAAAATTATCAGACCAACTAAAGCATCTACAAATCCAGAATGCATTAACACCTCGCCGTGTGCTCAATTGAAACAACAGGGGCATTCCTTCTACCTCCCCTCTTCCGCCTCTTTTCCTCTCTCTCTTTGGCACCCTCATTAGATGCTTGGATGTGGGTATGAGTGTGTGATGTATGTAGTATATGCCAAGCCCTTGTAACAAAAAAACGTTTTTTCTAAAGCTTCAAATGCAACAGCAACAACAACAACAAATGCAACTTGCACAAATCGTGAAAACCCCCCGAAGAGAAGCGAAGAAGAAGAAAAAAATAAAACCAGCACGAACATTGAGAGAGAAAAAACACAAACAACAACCACAGAGAACCTCATAACTAAATTGCATTAAGTGTAATTATAACTAATTTGATAAAAATAAATAAATAAAAAAGCCGCATAAATGGCACAAAAAAAATCACATTTTTTAAAAATTGTTTTCATGTTTTTCGCCTTCTCGCTCTCCCGCTGTCGACCATGGCAAGCGATTAAAGCCAGTGGAAATGCTGTGGAAATGATATGCGATTAGTGGAGAAATAAAATCCCCAACAATAAATGAAATAATTGTTGAAATATTTGACTCAGCAGCCAGCAGCAAATGGCATTTCAATTGATTAATCTAACAATTTATAATAACTGCAATCCGGAAATTACTATACATTATATATATTAAGATTAAACAGAGAAATAGTTGAAAGCTTGCACAGAATATATGAGAGTTACTAAAACCAAATGTGTTAAACAAACATTTGTTATAGAAATATTTGATTTATTTGCATATGATATACGACATTTATATATAACAAATTGTTTAATATAAAATAAATCTTTAGTATGAATCATAATTTGTATAGTTAAAATATTCGAAAATATTTATACTTCATTGTTAATTTATATATACTATTATTTATAATATTTAGGTGCACTTTTTAAAGTACAATGTATTTTTATAATTTTTATAGCCAATTTTGGAATTGATATATTTTACACAATTATTTTCTTTGACTCTACAAATGGGGTCTTGAAACTCTCGTCATATATTTAATTTATTTCTGCTGTTCAATAATATAAGATAAGACTAAAACTTTCATTTAAAATTATCTTTTTCAATTAATCTATATTTAAGGCGGAAATAATTTTTAGATAATATATAAAAATTTATATTAAAAGAAACTTTTTTCCATATTACAAAGCTCTTCTTAAGCTGAGGGAGAATTTTGTCGTTAGATAGATATTGCTAGAGACTTTGTTTAAATATATTTTTAGAATATATGTTCTTACATGCCATAGAAATGATATTTTACATAAATATGCATTTGCTTTATTAAAATCTTAGTATATAATCTGTGCTGTAGTTTCTTAATAAACGAATTAAGATTGTATATCATGTAATTCAAGGCAATGCTATTATGCAGTTAAAATTTACAAATGAAATATAGTTGAGGATAAAAAGCATGTGAGATCGTTTAAAGCAGATTAAGATTTCTTGAACTTGCGTTCAGATTTATTAAACTGAATAAAAGGCGCACTGTACCGACTGTACCGTGGATTTGTTCAATTGCTTGATCAATTACCAGAGCAACAACAACAACAATGGGAGCAAGAACAACAACAGCAGCAGCAAGCGGCAACGGCAAGATATACAGATTGAAAGCACAGCATAGGCATTAGCATTAGTCCATAGATGGACTGCCTTTAGCTACGGTCAAGAGAGAGATGCAAAGCGAGCGAACGGGCACAATGAACCTGAGGTGGGGGCTGAGGGAAGGAGAGGGCACACAGGCAGGCAAAATAAATCATTTAATATAGCGCGCTATTTATCATCTAACATTGCTGCATATCATTCTTCATCTTGGCACACGCACACACACAATCACACACATACACACAGTTGGGTGCCTCAAGAGTAGACGAAAACAAAAAAACAAAAAAACAAAAGTGGAAGTAGAAAACAAGTAAAAGCACTGCAGGCGACAGAGGTCGACAGTGAGATGCCCTGTAGAAAGACAATACGAGCTAGGGTTTTTATGCAAAGGCATAAAGCGCAGCTGCCAACATACACATAACGAGAATCAAACATTAACAACTGTTTAGCAGCATATTTAATTTATACCTTCATTATCGAATTCCAACTACTTGCTGACAAATTCAATATACCCTTTTCGTAAGCTTATTTGAAATGAGCATATAAATAGAAGTGAAGGCAAAATTAGCGTGAATGAAAACTGCTGGCTGAAACGTATGGCAATAGAGTTGGTAGTGGGGGAAGCGTGGGAGGCGGAGGAATTTACACACCTAGCAAACGGTATTAAGCGAGAGGGTGGGGTAGGGATACGTTGCGGTTGCACTCATATAAACAAATTGCGCGAACGGAGCAGCCAAAATGTCTGCTACGGCCATAAAGGCACAGCGTGTCGGTGTGTGTTTCAGTGGATGTGTGTTTGTGTGAAAGAAATGTACAAATGTTTGACTGTCTGTCTGTCTGTATGTCTATATGTCGTATCTTTTCTAGTGAACGATTCTGTGTTGTTTATTCGTCACTTTAACACGTTCGATGCTGACGCGCGCGCTGGCAGCGGCCAGCAAGACAGCGGGACAGCGACTGAGGCAGCGACGCAACGTCACTGACACCGACACACACGCACGTACACACAAAATAAACTAAACGCAAACGCAGCGGCAGAATTTATTTTTATTTAATGCGCGCCTGCCATACATACACATGTATGCGTGCGTGCATATGTGTTTATGTGTGTGTGCGATGCATGCCTATCAAGATTGAATTTGGTTTTTCGTTTGATTGTTTTGATTGTTGCCGCCAACTAGACTTACAGCAAATAAATGCGTAACAAAACAATATCGTGTAAAAAGTTAAAATACCTTAAAACTACTATGTACGTACATTTAAATGTGTGTGTATGTATTTATTTTTGTTATTGCTGCTGCTGTGACTGTGATTTTATGCTCGCTCTCGCAGGCGCTCTTGTTCACTCGCTCTCTCCCTTCTCAATCTCTGTGTAGAAGTTCTCACTTGCACTATTAGAATAGTGTTGCCTAGACAAAAGGCAACGCATTATGCTTATTATGTGTTATTACACATATGCAATACACTTGCATTGATTTATTTAATGTTTTTACTTAGTTTTATATTGATTTGGAACATACACGCGCTTTTGTTTTCGATTAATTAAGCGAAGAGAAACGCTAAAAGTTCTTGCGACGCGACAACCTCACGCTTTGACAACTAAACGACAACTGATTGTAAATATTATATCGATAAGTTGAGAGTGTGTGAATGTTCAGCTGCGCTGCGCTGCGCCAAAAGTCAGAGCTACTAAACAGTGTTGACAAATTCAAAAAAATGTATTTGAAAACAAATCAAATCAAAAAATGGCAAATTTCGTTTTTATTATAGGGACCGTTAAAGCCATTAAAGGAAAGAAATAATTATATCTTTATTTTATCCGAGGGCTGCATAACGCACAGGGCTGTAGTGTATGGTTAGTTAAAAACACCTGTTCAACGGTAGGGGTGCATTAAACACAGGGCTGTGCAATTGGGAACATCTGTTTTGTTAAGACAATGTCTATTTTACACACGATTACAAAATTTCTCTCAAAACGTTTGTTAACACAAGGTACTGGCAATGGCATTAAACAAAATTACTTGCATATCGGTACCAAACCACATACAAAAACTAGAACATCGATAAAAATATCAGCAGTACGCAGTATATGGGGCTATGTGGCGGTGGCCTTCAACCAGGTGGATAAGGATCGTTTGAGACGGGTGGGTCCGAATCGTCTCTGTGCTGAATGGATACTAAAAAATGGTGGAGGTGTACGAATGACAGAAAATCCTACCAAACTGTGGAAGGAATACAATCATCTGCCAGCGGAGAATACGCCGTTTCGTATTAAAGTTGTGGACGCAACCAATTCATCGATCATGAAAATTGGTTTACATCATTTTGAAGGCTGCAGGAACATAGACACCGTAATCTTTCACAAATGCAAGCATCTGGAAAACGACGGTCTGGAGGGTTTGGCATATCTAAGCCAGTCGTTGGCTAATCTACAGGTATCCGGTTGCTATAATATCAGAGACTCTGGCCTAGCTTTTATTAGCCACCTAAGAAATTTGAAACAGTTGCTCATCTTCGATATGCCCTACGTTCAGAATATGGATGAGGTGGCCAACAAACTAAAAAAAAGTCTACCTGAATGTGACGTACAGGCCAACAAATTTGGAGTACAGTTTAAAAAGTAATACACCTTCTTTGCCAAAAAAATCGAATTGAAATTGTTAATTTTTGCAAATATAAATGAAATGAGTTAAGTAGCTCGATGGACTTCTGAGTAGTATAGTCAACAATACAGGCATATTTCGATATATGGGATATGTATGCTAGCGAAAGGTAAGTACTATTGCTTTTGTTCTTGGCCTATTTGAAATCATCTCAGTATTTCTTAGCTTTAATAGGTCTGCAATCAATGAAGGAGTCAAGCGGTTTTCATTACCGAGTGCCTACTATACTACACATAGTATCTAATTACTGAATTGTGACTAAACTATATATATTCGTAATATCTGTGATCCTCTCATGGATAAGCTATATATGGGCAAGTTTAATGAAGTCTTATATAAAAAATAAATAAAAAACTGATCCTCTGCTGCCTTATCGAAGGCAGCACAGCAAATCTTTATAAACTCAAAAAATTAAATTAAAAATCCATTATTAGTTGTGTATTCGGGTGTAATTGGTGCTACGCAGCATGTTATGAAATGCCCTAAATAACTTATATAATATTATTTGGTGTTCTGTGCAGTCTATCAGTATTAAGTACTAAATGATGTATATTCTAGGTGGCAGCAAGTATGTAGGGACGTATATCCTCCACGTCCAAGAGCTGCTCAGGAGCCACATGCTCGCCACACATAGGACAATCTCCATTTTCCGACAGAATGCTAAAAGTGAAAGGAATTATAACAATTATTTTTGGATACTATATATTAAGCTTAGACCTACTTCTCCATTTCTCCGCGAAAACATAGAAAATCGCATTGGGGACAGGATGTCATTTGAGTTTTAATGATGTGCTGCCCCGTTGCGATGCAAATGGGTAACGTTGTCTTGCAGCTGTAGCAGGTGACTTCCATATTGGCCAAATTGGCGTCGCAGATGGGACATTCCATTGTCTCGTCATCGATCTCATCGCGTAGCTGTTTGATGCCTTTCGGTGCTTTGCGGACAATCGACTCTATTTTCTTAATATAACGCCCATCCAGTTGATTGCGATAATCTGGACGCATGAGCATGGAGGCATAGGTAAAAGCCGATTTCTTTAGGCCAGCACGATGGCATTCAATAACAGTCGAAGTGAGTATGGGCACAATATCTGTGGATATTATTAATAATTAATAATTATACTAAACTATACTTTAATTCTATGTATTACGTTCTGGAAATTGTGAGATGCATGCGGCTACCTGGACGAGCAGTTTGGCGGCTAGCAAATGATTGCCTAGCTTGACATGTATGCGCACCAGCGTATAACGATGCAGCAATATCAAATTGTGTCGCATTTCAGCGGTCACAGAGAGATTATTGCGACGCAGCTCCTGGTACATGGAGTAAAGTAAGTCTCTTGCTGATTTGTAATTGCCCGAAAGTTGCTCTTGATTGGCTATAATAACTGCTGTCTTAGCTGCATCCTTGTAGTGCTTGCGTGCCATATACAAACGGAACAGATAACGTGGATCCTTAGGTACACCATCGAGTTCACCTAACAGAAATTCAATTAGCTGCGTGGCAAGCTGTTCATTATTAGAGGTGGCCACGCAATCAATGGCCAACGATAGAGCCTGCGACTCTTCATTACTAAACGCAGAGGCCTTGAGGAGGAAACGAAGTGCCTTGGTAAATTCCCTGGCCAGAAAATAATATTTTCCCGCTAACAGCGTGTATTTCTCACTCTCAAAATAATGAGCCAGTGCCAGATAATCTGCGGACTTTGCATTTTCATAACGTTCCAAAAGCTCGCCATGGCGACGCAGCTTGTTATGACGCTGAGCTAGAGCAAAAGCCTCCTCCACGCAGCCGCATATGACGAGAAACTGTAGAGCCTGCTCAATATCGTTAATTTTCTGATAGAACTTGGCCAGCATCTTAGCTGCATCCATTGAGCGCGATTCGAGGACTATTTCAGAGGCAGCATGAGGATCACACAGATGATCTAGATAGATTCGAACGCAGGCATCCAAATCCCCGGCAATACGATAGCTGTTTATAGCTTGCTCAAACTGCCCGTCCGATTCCTTGGCCTTGGCATAGGCTGCATGCAATTTGCTGCTTTTCACATGGCCCAATATATTGTTAGCCTTGTGCCACATCTTAAGAGAGATATAATGCCCGCACGCCTCGTCGTAGTAGCCGCCGCGTTCGTAAAGACCTGCCGCCTCTGTGAGGTGACCCACAGTGGCCAGCAGCTCGGCGCAGTCGAAGAGCAGCTGCTTGTCCTGCAGCTCCACAGCATATTGAATCTAAATAGATTAAAAATATATATTACAAAGGATTGCAAAAACGGAAGCGAAACTCTTACGCCACGTCGAAAATCACCCGCACGTATGGAGGTGCGTGCAATGCCCATTTTGCATAGACGCACATGCTCCTCGTATTCCGGTGTGCTGTGCAGCAAAGTTGGTGGCTCTGAATCTTCGTTGTTGATCAAATCCTCCTTGTAGCCCTTCTCATAATGATACAGAGCGTCCGCATAGTTGCCACTAGACAAACACTGATCAAACATCAATTTTTAATGAGAATTGTTTTATCTTACGTAAATTCCAACTGTTGGGCATACTCCCGTGCTATGAAAGGCACCTCATTTGGTTCATATTTGTGAGCCAATAGCAGCGCCTGATCCCATTGCAGTAAGTCCCTGCTAAGATCCAGAGCGGCACGTGTGTACACTCCTTTCAACAAATACTCCTTAGCCTGATCGTATTGAGCTAGAAGCATGCAGCAGCAGCCGCACAACATGTGCAAATCCTCTACATAGACCAGCTCGTCCAGCGCATTGACTAAAGCAGCATCGCCTAATTGGCGATACGCGCGCAGAGCTATTAATATGGAGATATATGTTATTTACAGTAGAATAAACAATTATATAATTTATAGTTAACCCATTTCCGGCTCTAGATCCGCAATGGCATGTTCGCCAAATTGTCGCCACGCGCTGTCCAATTGCATCTGCTCGCACAGCTTGTAGGCCTCATCATATTTCTTAAGCTTCAGCAACAACAGCAAATTATCCGATTGACTATTTGTGGGATTGATGACATGTGTGCTCAAGCATTGGGTTGCATACTGTCCACCATCGATGTGCAAAGCCATTTCACCCGCACAGACCAGCAAAGGCACTTGACCAGGATTTAGCTTCGATTCACCCAATCTTTGACTGTATCTGCCACGTACCGAATGTCGTGTAAAAACATGCGTATAAACAAGACGAGAATCGTAGCTTATAAAAATATTGGATTGTGTTAAGTCCCACAAACATCCCAAACACTGTTTGGGCAGCTCCGCAATGAGTAGAGCCTCCTGATCTAAAGCAGGCAAATAGACAAAGCCCTGTCCATGTTCATCGATGAAAATCGTTTTAGTGCCTTCGACATCTGTATAAAGTTGACGTATGCCATTACTGTGACGATAGATAGTACACGTATCCCACTTTTCCAGCGAGTAAAACACCAGATGACCGATCTAAATAAGTAACATAATGAATAAGTAATAAAGCAATGATTCTCTCTATAACATACGTCTGTTGCAAAGATGAGTAGTTCCTGACTGAGTGCAAAGCATGTGATGACCGCATCGCTGGGTAGGGAGGAGGGAAGTGCACTGGGAAAGCACGCCTGCAGCTTATCTTTACAATTGGGATTATCCGCTGCAATTGCTTGAAGTATCAGCTGTGGTGGGCACAAAGCAGCGCAGTAATCCGCATTCAATTTCATAGCGACAACATCATTAGGCAAATCTCGTTCGCTGAGAGGCCGTGGCTCATCGCCCAAGCTTTTGCCCAGATCATAGAACCAGACATGTTTATCCAGGCCAGCAGCAAAATTATAGGGACCAATGGCCAGAAATGAAGGCTCCGTTTCCAAAGGCAGCCGAAAAGGCACTGTTTTTGATTTATCTGGTGCATAGACATAGATAGAAACTTCCGCCAGGCTGCTCAACATGACCAGACGTGGAGCCGATACTGAAAACATGTGAGGCAATTTGGTTACATAGGTGTAGACTGTCCCTCCACTGGTGGTGACCGCTAGGAGCTGTCCATCTGGTGACCAATCAATCATTTGCACGCTCGCATGATCCGGTACTGTAATAATGCGTTCCGTTTCCTGCAGATTAGTTATCGAGTGGATCTTGATGCTATGTGGAATGGAAAGACAATGAAAAATGATTTCTTATTATTTAAAAGTGGATCAGCTTACTTGTCATCGCCACAGGAGGCAACAATATCTAGAGATGGACAATAGGCCAAGCCAGTGAGAGTATCTTTGTGATTGCGCACTTGCCACAGCTCTTGGCCCACGTCCTTGGGATGTGTCGAAATGGCCACTACATGGCCATTGGAAAATCCCAGCAGTATATAGCCATCTCCAAACCATTTGTGCTGCAATAGCGAACCATAGCGACTCTGAAAACCGAGTTCTGTTGGGTTCTCAGGCTCCGGCAGATAGTACAGGAACAGCGTTCGTTTGCCAATTATCATGCTTATAGCATTATCACCGGCTATACGCTCATCATTCGCCATCTCTGCAAAATACATATCGGAGGGTGCATCGCGCAGCTGGACAATGCGCACCGTATCGCCATCCTCACTGCTCAGGGAGAAACTTTTGTCATCTGAGCCGAGGGCAAGCAGATTTTGTGCTGACCAGGCGCCGCACGTTATACGCTTGTTGTGCTTGCCAATAACCGGGGTTCGCTTTCCACTGCGATGATTGTAAATAGATAAATTTCCACGCCCAGTACCTACAGCTAAAATCTGCTGCTGCTTGGACCACAATATGCAGGTGAGGGGATCACGTAGTCCAGATTCTACAGTCAGCTTTTGTTGTGTCGTATAATCCCAAAGAGTGATATTCGGTGAGCTGCTGGTAATGATCCCCAATAGATCTCCTTCGGAATCCCACGCAAAACCAGAGCACAAACTGAAAAGGAATTATGTTATATATATTGAATTGATAGGCATATCTCGAGATTACCCGGCTAATATAATGCGCTGCACTAGCTGGCCTTGGCGATTGTATAGAGCTACGGAGCCATCGGTGCCCGTTGTGGCCAGCAAAGCGCCGGCACTCTTTTGCCAAATAAAGTAGACGTCGCCGATGCCGTGAGGCTCATCATATTTGTACAATATCTTCTCAAACGACATTTTCAAATATTAAACTCCTATAGCAGCATGTTTTTTCCGAAAATTATTGCACTCCTGCTGCATTTTGCAGAGCTGGAAACTTTTTTCAGCTTTCTGTTTACACTTTTTACCGTTGCTATGACAGCAACAAGTAGTTTTTATACGATACTACTCATTATGAAAGAAGTGTGACCATTATTTTAGAAAACAAAATATTACGTGAATGATTAACGACAGTAGAATTATTAACGAGAAAATCATTTCTATAATAAATTTGAAGTTGAAGAAGTTAATCATATGAATTTCATATTAACATATATAAAAAACATATATTGGCCAGCTCTGTTTAGCTGTTTGTTTCCGTTTTATTTCAGCTTATAACAGCAAGTTGTTCAGCAATGCTAAAAATATAAAATAAAAAATTCCAGTTGGTATATAAAGCTTCAATTTATATACAGATGAATCATTTTTGACATATTTTTGTAATGAATTTGTAATAACGTGGGCTTGAGCGCCTGTTTTATTTGTTTCTTACGATTGTTCTTTACCGTTACCATGACAGCAACAAGTAGTTTTCGAACGATACTACTTATGTTGACAAGCAGTGTATAAGGAGCAAAAATACTAAATATACCGTTCTTTGTGATCAGCATACTGATTTTAAAGTTGACAACAGCTGTAATAAAACTAAGTCATAAATTACTCTAAGATTTGTTATTTCAATTAAAACTTGTTTAGTTACAACCATTACATTTCTACACCCAAAAGTAAACATTAAATATAACCATGTCGGATGATTTACCCGAGGAATTCGATTTGATAGTCATAGGAACAGGTAAAGGGCGTTCTAAGTAATTGTCTTGTTTTTTCTGACATCCACCTGAGTCTGATGAGTCATTAATGGTTTTTTTAGGCTTCGTTGAATCCTGCGTAGCCGCAGCTGCTAGTCGCATAGGTAAAAATGTCCTACATATTGATGCCAATGACTACTATGGCGACGTTTGGAGCTCGTTCAGTCTGGAAGCATTTATTAAGTTGTTGGAGCAACCCAGCAACAGCCTGCGCAATGGGAGTTACACCTGGCATAAGTCAACGGAGCAAGAGGAGCAACCGGTAACGAGTTGGACGCGCGAATCTCTGCTAGAGAAGTCGCGTCGCTTCAGCCTGGATCTGAGTCCACGTGTCGCCTATTGCGCTGGCTCGCTAGTTCAATTGCTTATCCAGTCGAATATTTGTCGGTATGCAGAATTTCGCTCCTTGGACCATGTTTGCATGCTGTACAACGAGGAACTTGTTTCGGTGCCCTGTTCCCGCAGCGATGTTTTCAATACCAAAACGCTGACGATGGTAGAGAAACGACTCCTGATGAAGTTTCTGACTGCGTGCAATGATTACGGTGAAGACAAATGCAATGAGGATTCACTAGCATTTCGCGGACGTACTTTCCTGGAGTATTTGCAGGCACAGCGCGTGACGGAGAAGATAGCCAACTGTGTGATGCAAGCGATTGCCATGTGTGATGCCAACACTAGCTTTGAGACGGGCATGCAGCGCACTCAACGTTTCCTTGGTAGCCTCGGTCGGTATGGCAATACGCCTTTTCTGTTTCCCATGTACGGCTGTGGCGAATTGCCTCAATGTTTTTGCCGCCTGTGTGCTGTATATGGCGGCATTTATTGCCTAAAGCGCAGCGTGGATGATATCAATTGGACGGACAGCGAGTTGCTTGTGAGTAGCGCAGGCAAAACATTGCGCGCCAAACATTTAGTTTGTGCTCCGTCTCAACTGCCTGCCACATTGGCCACACACTTTGGAGAATCTGAACCACGTATATCAAGAGGATTATTCATTACCTCCAAACCTTTGGGCAATGAAGAGCTGAACAAAGGTGGCGGTGGCGTCAATTTGTTGCGACTGCTGGCGGCGAATGGAGAGCGAGAGGCTTGCCTTATACAACTCTCACACTATTCAGGCGCCTGCCCAGAGGGCTTATGTAGGTGTTACATTCACTCATTATGGATTTGTTTTACAGTGTAATGTAAAATCCTTTTAATTTTCTAGATATACTGCACCTAACGACGCCGGCGATTAGTGCCGATCCAGCAGCAGACCTAGCTGACTTTGCAGCACAGCTTTTTGAGACGCATGCCAGCCAGATACTCCTCAGCGCCTACTTTACTATAGCAGCTCCAGCTGCAGAGGGCATTGCAAACGCTGACACGCCCATTCTTTGCACAGCTGGGCCCGCCTACGAGCAGGACTATGATGCGGCTATAGAGAATGCGCGTCAAATCTTTAGCCAGCTCTATGCGAATGAAGAGTTCCTACCGCGTGCTCCCGATCCAGAGGAGATTGTCGTTGATGGCGAGGATCCAAGTGCGCTGAATGAGCACAGCTTGCCGGATGATTTGCGTGCACAGCTGCAGGATTTGGAGCAGGCAGCACAGCATATGGACATAGCGGACTAACAGGGATACAACAAAGTTCAACAACTTTTTTATTCATCACTTTATTGAGAAAACAAAAAAAAACTGAAAAGATTCTATATACATATGCTAAACTATCTGATATATAAATAATTTATATATATATATATATATCTTGGACAATTGAAATTCGCAGGTTTTCTATTTCCTTTAGGTTTTAGTTTAAAATCAAATATGTGCTTGCATATAATTCTTTATATATTTATATATATATATATATATATAAATATGTTTATATATATATTTATTGTGTAAATTATTTATTATATAAACGCTAGTTACTATATATATTTTATATGTATGTATGTGAGTGTGGGTGTGTGTGTGATTTTTATATATATCTATATATCTCTTCCAAAAATATGCATTATAAAAATTGTATTTTTCTTACTATTTGTTTTATTGCTTGACAGTTGCTTGTTTATTTATTTGTTGTTAAAATTTGTTGTGATGCACTCAAATCGTGTGTCTTAAATTAATAGAAAAAAACACAATGTGTTAATTTGATTAAATAATAGTATAAAGTTTAGTTAACAAAGGTAGAACGCACCAATTTAGTCTTATGTTTTTAAAGGAGCAGCGTTTTGAGAGGGGTTTCTTTTTTTTTGATTTGTTTTTTTTTTTTTTGGGGCAGTCCTAAAAAGAAACATTTAAAATAATAAACTATGCCACAATTCGAATATGAAACGATAAAACGTGCATTTTAAAATATGTTTCAAGTGTTATTTGTTGTCCGTCTTCTTCTCTATATATATAAATAAATATATGTATATATATAGATATATCTGCTTTTCAGTGCATTTTACAATAAAGCTTTTACGTTCTCGTTTCACTTACAATATCAGCTGCTGCTCAAAATGAGTTTGCTTATTCCTTTTCTTTTTATGCATATACATATATATGTACATATATATATATATATTTTATATTGTTTTCTATTCTTATATCTTAATTAGATTATTGTTGATATTCTGCTGGCGTTTGCGCTTCGCATTCATTGCATCCACAATGGGCTGTCGTTTGGCATTATATTTTTTATTGAGCTGCTCAATTTCCAGCTCCATCTCGTGATCAATGTTGCTCAGACGCTGGTTCAGATCGTCAAAGGTGAGAAATTTGAGAAATTCGAATTCTCCTTCTACATATGCATGTGACTGTGTGTGCAAATGCTGATGCTGATATGCGGGCGGAGGCGCAGCAGGAGCAACTGCTGCTGCAGCTGCAGCACCACCCTGCTGTTGCGAACTCCGCAGCAAATTCTGTTGATTGTTGAGCGCAATCAGCTGCTCCGTCATTAGTGGATAGGCCATGAGCAGCTGTTGCTGCTGCTGTTGCTGTTGCTGCTGTTGCTGATGCTGCTGCAGCCCATACTGATTGATAGCTGAGATTTGTTGGAATTGCAATTCCATATTGTGTTCCCAGTTGTTGGCGTCATGCGCACCACTAGCCAAATGCTCCTGTGGCTGCTGCTGTTGCTGCTGTTGTTGCTGCTGTTGCTGCTGCTGCTGCTGTAGCTGTTGTTCCACTGCAGCTGGTGAGTATTCTGTGGTTGCCTTTTCGTCGGGCCCTGCATTTTTGCGCTCAAAGTGATCGAGGAACTGTGGACGATAGCGATAGCGCGGCTTCTGATCATCATTCCGTTTGGCCGTGCTCGAGTCATCCGAATCCGAATTAATAACCATTGTGCCTGCCGGACAAAAGAGATATTCAAACAATTCGAACGATATTTCGTAATGCCTACTAAGAACAGCTTGATATAAGCTGACACATCTGTCCACCCTATTTCATAATACCCACTCACCCAAATTGGACTCCAGTTCGACCATGGTGCCGCTGTCTACTGTAGCTACATCTGCACTACCACCAGTACCACCAGCACCTCCAGCACCGCCTGCTGCTGTAGCCGCCTTGGCTGCTGCTTTGGCCATGCCTGACCTTATGCCGCCTGGACCTAGTGTTGCATCGTCTACATCTTCTCGATGTGCTATCATGGTCGCATCTGAGGCCGAGTTCTCTTGGTATTCATTGAATTTCTCAGGCACCAAAGTGCCGGGGTCTACAAATGTTTTAACCGTGCCCGAATTGTACTCGTTATCCTCCTCGTGAAGCATCAGACCCGACTCTTGGGTGGCTAGACTCTTGGCCTGGCTCATTGCACCACCAGCTGCTCGATGAGCGCGCTGTTGTTCCCTTATGGCACACGTCTCCTCGAGCATGGTCTTCAGTATGCTGCGATGATTGGCATTGCGTATGAACTCATGCTCCAGCAGTTCAGTGGCTGTCGCGCGTTCATCCGGATTCTTAACCAGGCACTTGCTAACGAAATCAATAAACTCTGTGCTCCAGCGATCGGGCTCCCGGAACGATGGTGGCGGTTTCTGTGGTATCATGAATATGGCACGCATTGGATGTATTTCACCGTATGGAGGCTTCCCTTCAGCCATTTCCAGCGCTGTGATGCCCAGTGACCAAATGTCCGCCACACAATCATAGCCAATCTCCTCAATCACCTCCGGAGCCATCCAGAAGGGCGTACCAATCACTGTATTCCTCTTGGCCATTGTGTCCGTTAGCTGGCCAGCGACACCAAAGTCCGCCAGCTTAGCATAACCTTCGGTATTGAGCAATATATTAGCTGCCTTGATATCCCGATGGATTTTGCGACGCAAATGCAAATACACCAGACCCTGAAGGGTATCCGATAATATGGTTGCAATTTCATCCTCTGTCAGCGTCTTCTTGCGCAAACGCATAATGTCCGAGACGCTGCCTGCGCCACAGTACTCCATACAGATCCACAAATCATATTGCTTAAAATAAGAGCCATAATATCGCACTACATAGGGTGAATCACATTGTTGCATAATCGAGATCTCCTTAATTATCTCGTGCAGATCGGACTCAACCGGCACCAATTTGATGGCCACTATTGAGCTGCTTTCCTTGTGTAGCGCCTTGTATACCGAACCGTAGCTGCCCTCGCCTAGTTTGTACATTATGTCAAACACTTTCTCGGGCGGCTGTAAAAGGGATTCCTCTGATAATTTCTTTAACTCGCCATTGCCATTTGTATTGGAAGACATGTTGCTGGCTGTTGTTGTCGTTGTTTTACGTCTGCATATGCGTAACCAGTGCTAGTGGCAGTGCCTATGCTGTTTACTTCAAGTCTTACGTATCTGCGGTATATTGGTTTGAAATAACACAATATCTGCTCTACGATAATTGCCAATTTAATGCAACGTTTTTCTTTGCACCCACATTTGTTCTTTATTCGCTTGCCAGTAGAGCTGGTGCAGCAAAATTGCTAGTCACTGGTATTTTTTAGTGACTACTCATGGATTGCACGAGAAAATATGTGTTTGGTATTAAACTATTCTTTTTTAAATACCTTTTGGTTCTTTGTTATATGGAAATCTTGAGGGTACGGGCTTTGGATTACATTTATTTGCAGGCATAAATATAAACTGATATATCCAATTAGTGGATTCTATCACACTAGATTTGTTTTATAACTAAGAGCCTAAATATAATTATAATACAAAGTAATTACTATTTCTTTCTTCATTTTAGTGCAAAATTATCGTTATCGATGCTTTTCTAACTGGCGCGTGACAATTGAATAGCTCCGATTTAAAAATATATATTGTATAAAAATTATTAATTAAATTATAAACACATTAAATTTTACAGATTAGCAGCTAAGCATTTACATGTTACAATTTACATACAGAAGTGTTAGCAATAAGTTTATTTTAGAATATTATCTGCTGTTCGGCGCTGCCAGATAGGCAAACAGTTCAGCGCAGCTTGGCGCAATTTTTAAATTCAAAAGTTGTCAAATGCTCTTGTTAACTGCCAACTTGCCAGAGCATAAATTCAATTTAATGTAATTCGTAAACAATGTGCCTTATCAGTCAGTCCCTGTGCTTTTGGCTGTCCTAGCAACGCGCGCCATAGTAACGCTCGTGGATACCAATACACACGAAATTGAGAAAATTCCTGAACCTTTTGCTCGGGTCGTCAGTTTGTTGTTTACGCTAGCTGACTACAGTTCGAAGACTAACGAAAAAAATGTCCCATACACGCATAACCACCGCCTATGGAGCGCGGCCGTCGTACGATTTACATACAAACTCCATATCGCTGAAACAACGTTCCAAGTCCGCAAATCCACCACAATTACGGCCATTTAGCGGTATTCAGGGTATGCGACCCCGTTATGTGCCGCCATTTTCCATACAATCGCAGCAGAAAAACACGGTAGTCATTAACGGTCCTATACACGAGCCACCCGTCACGGCAAGCGCGCGCGGTCGGCCACCGAATCCCAAATGTTCGTATTCCCAAATGGTTGCCCGAAAGAAAAATATGTAAGATTATTTTGATTACTTGTATTGGCTTTCAGGTCTGAAGAAACAGCAGAAATCCATTTCGTCATGCAATTTGGGCGCTAGCTTTAACGCCTGCACGGCTATCAAGAATCCGGGGCGCGGCACTTTGTTTCGCATGTATTTCGATCGCGGTGATTTGCCCATTAAAATGGAATATCTCTGCGGAGGCGATAAGATTGGCTGGACGGTGAGTCGGGGCACGTTGTGCTTAAGTATTGAATCAGAAAAGCTTCATAAATATTTTCTAGACAAATCCAATATTCAAGCAATTTGGCAAAGTTATGTAAATAATTGCTTAAACTATTTGGAAATTCTAAGCAAAATTGATTAATCTTAAAAATTAGTTACTTTTTAATGAACTATAGGAAGTTTTGTGAAATATTCCTTAAGCACTTGAAAACTAGGGGAATAAATTATTCTAAATTGAGCTTGAACGATCTGGCAACCCTATGACATGTGACTTCTGGGAATCGTAAGTAAAAGTAGAGAGAAGGGTTTTCATTTAAATAAATAAGTTAAAGCTTTCTAAGCGAAATATTAATAAGCTCCTTAGCCTCAACTTTAGCTAATAAAATTATGTCTCATCGATCTGGCAACTCTATGTCTAAGCAAAGTAATATATAATTATCAAAAAATGAGTTCTTTCTTCACAATTTTGGGGCATTAAATCGTTTTGAAATCAAAACATTTTGAATAATTTCTGTGTATTTAAGTTATTTTTGATTTCTGGCAGTGCCGTTATTAGCTGAACTTTGATTCGTAAATTACCTGCCAAGCAAATCAATGCCAACTAATTGCCAATAGGTGTTAGACCCAATTTTGCCACTAACAACTGCAGACCTGCGTGTCCAATTATTTTTGAAGTGTTGGCACAAAAGCTAGAATAACTCCCACGCTTCTAGGTGTTATGCATATATATATATATATATATATATATATATATATTATTGTATATGTCTATTTCCGGAACAAACAAACGGACGGACTCCGTTTCGCATTCACGTTTGCCACAGTAGCAGTGACGTCCAGGTGTCAGCCAGTCAGTCACTCATTCACCCAAAGAGAGAATACCAGAACATAATATATAGACTAGGGAACATAGCTTGGCCTGAGCTGGTCTGGCCTGGGCCTTTCAATGTCATGTGTGAAGGCTTGGTATGATGCTCAAGCGGGTGCGTTTGTTTATATAGCAATGCGGCATTTCTGACAGTTCATTTACATATGAGCGATATGAAAGTGACAGATATATATCATATATATATGCATATCATATGCCACAGCAGACTTGAAGGTCAACCAAAGGAGCTTTAAGTGGGGTTTAGTTGATGGTAGAAGTAGGTAAGTGGAGCTCACTTGCTCATGGAAGCAGGAAGATTGTGCTGGAAAATTTTTTATTTGATTATTATCGCAAGGCAGCTACGAAAGGGAAGAGGCTACTCAGGTGTGCGTAAATAGAGCTGGTGACTAATGACACGTGACTAAGGAAAATAATCTTTTAAGCATTTGTTAGCTAAGCTTGGTATATATAATTCATAGATTGTAATAAATCTATATACGTACATACAGAAAAAAATATATATATATATATGAAGCAAACATATGTAGCTATGAAAGCTCTAGAAATATATATAAATTGTTTTCTATTGAGAGCTTTAGCTTTTTTTGTTTTCATATCAAGTAATTCCAGAAAATTTTATATAAACAGATTTCATATATAATTTAAGATTTCAGTCCCATAAACTTTAGTTATTAACAAAAGTTTTAGGAAAACTTGCAAAAATAAATTGAAATTAAAAAGAAAAGAAAAACAAAAGAAAAGTTAAATGAGTTGCTTGAAACGTTTTCAATCACGCAGTTTGGGAGCTAAGCTTACTATCTTTCTTTCCCTCTCTCTCTCCATCTCTCTCTCTCTCTGGAAGCCCTAATATATACATATATATTTTAACCCATTTAACTTTCCCAGCAAAATAAATCCGAAAAGATAGCTTAACAAGCATCGCGTGCACATTTACACCTGTAAAACAAGCGGCAAGAAAACTTACCTTAACTGTCACAAGCTCACTTGTATTTCGCTTGCAGGTGGACATTGACAAGCTGGACTATAGCCTCTACTTGCCGCTGTTCTTCGACGGACTGGCCGAGCCGAAGCATCCGTATAAGACCTATGCGCGACAGGGCGTTAGCGACTTGCTGCAAGCGGGCGGCGATAAAATCCATCCTGTGGTACCGCAATTAATTTTACCGTTAAAGAGTGAGTACCTGGCGGCGATGGTGGCAATCAGAAAAACCCAAAATCGAAGAGCCGCCCAGACAAAAAAGTATTTGTCCTGGCACGCAAATTGCTTTTGCTTTAATTTGCACCTGTAACTTTTAGTTGTTTCTTTGGCTTACCTTTCGCAGACGCATTGAGCACCCGCAACGTGGAGGTGATGTGCACGACATTGAAAATCATACAACAGCTGGTCATGGCCTCCGACATGGTGGGCCCCGCCTTGGTGCCCTTCTACAGACAACTGTTGCCCATGTTCAATGCGTTCAAAGTGAAGAACTGTAAGTGCGACTCCGACAGGCAGGCTGTAACAAGGGACAGATCTTTACTCTTTGGGATATTTATCAAGGTCAAGTCCAGACTTTGTAGTTTACAAGATCATTGCCTTTATACGAACGAACAGATCGAAAGACGCGCGCTTAGATAGGCCTATGGAGTTACGAAAATGATTGGATAGATTCAGCGAGTTTTGCTGATCAAGTATATATATAATTTATAGGAGCTGCCACGCCGCAGCACGAAAATATATTCAGAATAACTTTTCTGGTTGATAACTTTGTTTGGCTCGCCTCATTTATAAGGCGAATTAGGTCTATTGGAATAGTGGAATTAAGATGTTGAGTCCTCTAGATTAAGAGACATAGATTTTGAGTTCTAAACATGTGTTTCGGGCAAGATTCCATATGTCTTTTCTGCATATTTTTTTCAAATTATTTTTAAAATACCTCAATTTGTTATTCTTTTTCTATTTGTCAGTGAACTGCGGCGACGAAATCGACTATGCGCAAAAGAACAATTTGAATGTGGGCGACTTGATAGACGAGACGCTGCAGGTGCTGGAGCTGCACGGCGGCGAGGACGCGTTCATCAATATCAAGTACATGGTGCCGACCTACGAGTCCTGCTACTTGAATTGATCATACAGATGCCTATCTATATAGCTAAAGAAAAGCAGCTTTTACATGTTTTATGCTTCATATACACATATATATATGTATATATATGTACATATATGTACATATATATATACAAATCACGAGTATTTATTGAATTTTACATAGATGCCAATGAATAAATTTGTTAAGTATAATTTTCAATGTGGATGTTGTTGTTGTGTAGTTGAGTATATATGTAGAGATTATATAGTGTCTATATACTAAGTGTATGCATGTGCGTCTGCGTCTGCGTGTGCAGCAAGCAGCAAAAGCCAATAGCACCAAAAAACATATAAACGTCTTCAGGCAGAGGCAGCAATGGGGCGCAACAGCTCAAAACTTGGCTAGAAAGAGAGAGGGGGAGAGTGAGATATATGGATATATATATATAGAATATATGATATATTGCGCTGTTTGCTCTGGCTTTACAGTCCTTGACTTCAATGATTCCTTCAACTTGAATTGTATCAGAGAAACACTATATATAAAGTTAAGTTTGCTTTTACTAATAGTGAAGATATTCTATGTCTGTAATGTCTTTAATGATTGCTTCTCTGTCCGTCATAATCTATTTAGTCTTAAATTTTGATAGTAAAGATAGTCCTATATCTCAATAGGTATTCAGATGAATTCTTTAGGCGTGGCTCAGCATCAATTGTTGCCGTAACTCATCTATACATAGCTCTATAAAGAAATTGGTTTGTAGGATTGTTTATAATAAACCGAGCTGTTTGAGCGCGTATTATGCAGTCGCTTAGACACGATAGCAGAGCTTCTGATTACTTACAGCTGTTGCGCCGCCTGATTTAATTAGAATTTGGGCGGGGCGTACTCGTTCTTCTTGACGTTGTGTGGCGAATAGCGATTGTAGAGGCCCCAAATGGAATTCATTAACTTGTCATTGTACTTCGCCGGCGAATATTCACGTTCTGCGGACAAACAAATAATAATCAATTGGGCACTCCCCCTCCCGCCTTCTGTCTCTTTCGCTCTCTGCTACTTACGAGCATTGTTATCAATCTTATCAGAAATGTTTGCTGCTCTTAGACGCGAGACAATCATGTCCTTGTCCTGGAACTGTTCACGCAATTTGCAGGTCGCAAAGGCTCCCTGCGGCAAGGCCATTTCGACAACTAAAAACAAAATTAAAACAATATTATAATAAATATGTTAAATAAAACGAGAAAAAATAACAGAAATAAAGCGGAGAAAGCTCACAGTCTAGATTGAAATTGTTGAGTATGAATAAGAGTTGTGTGAGCTGCAGATTGCTTTGATCGCTCAGTTTCGAGTAGAAGTTGGACACGTGTTGAGCAATTTTCGAGTCGTTCACTAACACTGGCAGCGACAGCACCATTCAAAGTTTAACGTCTCTGGGTATGTAAACTGTTATTGCACTGTTTTTCAAGTCTTTTGTTTTGTACAGCTTTGGCTTGGCCAAGAATTCTTATTTATCTGTGTTTTCAAACGTTTTTGTTGCACAATTGTTTGCGCGGCATTTAAAAAATGCACGATTTATATTGATTTCGACGACTTGTAGCGTGAGAGCTTGTAAAAATTGTAGACACAACACAAAGCAGGTTCAGAACTGAACTGAATCGGAGACGAAGCTTCAGCTGAAACTTATAGAGCTCACAAACAGACAGATGGAACATGATGGAGATTGATAAGGGAGCGACAGAGAGGCAGAGAGGCGGACAGAGAGCGAGCGTGTGAGATCAGCAAGCGGCGCCATTTTGTTTGTGTAAGAGAGTGTGTATGCCTCAGGAGGCCTTTTGCTGGATTTTTCTTTTTGTTGCATGCAGATTTTCCAAATAAATATACATAGACATTTATATATATATATTTGAACTAGACTTTTCGACTTTTGTTCAGATGCTTGATAAGCGAATGAAATTTGAAATTCATTTCTAATCACACGCTCAGCTAAACTGCGCAGTTTGTTAAAAAAAACTTGAAGAAAAAACAATAAATGGAAAATCTGTCAACCTTTGAAAAAGTGTAGGCTCAATAAATAGTTATCGACGAATTTGATATGATAAGCCATTTCCCAGCTGTTGTCTAGCTGTGGGTTTATTCCTTGTTTCTTAATTGGTCAATTCTTAGCCCAGTTATTCATTTGGCCATGAACGTGGGCTATGGACAGCTCTATCTTTGATCGGTTCATGTGAAGTCAACAACTAAACCGACTCGAACCGGTTCGACTCTATCTGTACACAAGTACAAAATCGGTGCAGACATATAGACAAGTGGACACATATACATATATATACCTGCTGATGCATTTACTGACCTTACTAATATATATATTGAGTTTTGTTGTATGTTTTGTTTATTGAGTAAGTTGTTTACCAGCTGAGTGATTGCTTATAATGTAACTTTTTTATACTGTTTTTTATTATGTTTCCGATTAAAATTTTGTTTAATTACTACTGCTTAAAAATCTCTGTAGTCCCATTTTTTTATAATTATCAATTGATTGCATTGTGCGTTCAGCTGTTGCCAGGCTCATGGCAAAGCTTTGTAAATGCTATATTTGCAATATTTTATTGAGAGCATTATTATTGATAACTGTAAAAATAAGCGTCAGCCATATAGGCAAATCTATGACGCGCGATTTGTTGACTACAGCTAAAATCTTATGCATCACTCCACGCCTGCAATCAGCATTACTTTTGCAAAAAATTAACAAATAATAAAAATAAAAGAGGTTGCCCAAAATTGTGACACCTAATGGCTTGTCTAGCCACGAGCGTCCGAAGTCACGTAGAATGATTCGTAAACCTGATTAGAATACAATATATTTATATATATGTATAGAAACATAAAAACAACACATGCTGAAAAATAGATTAGGCGGATCTTATATTGGGCAAGGCTATCAAAGACATTATAATTGCTCTACTATCAGCATAGAGTATATCAGATTAATTGTTTGTTGAAAATACATGTAAACAAATCAAATTAGCCAGGCCCTTGAATTTTCACTTGAGGTGTTTTTGGGCGCACTTACAGCACTGTTACGCTGGTAGCTGAACAAGATTCGGACTATCGATTTGCTTATATGCTTAAATGCCTTTAGTGTGTAGATTACAAAAGAAAGAGCGCGAAATTTGTTATCAAATAAAAAAAGTATGTCTAATTTACACCTATATTTAAATTGAATTTTAAATGTAACGTACCCGTTATTCAAGCACACTTTACAGCACTGTTTTCCAACAGCTGTTATTTATGCCCGATTGTATAACAGTGCTTATCGAGCAGCAGCAGCTGCCACTTTATAACTTAGCATAGGTCTGCTAAGTTTACAGCAGTACTAATAGAGCAGCTGTCTATCGGTCAGGTTGTTCCTCGCCAAAATTAGCTAACAAGAAAATAAATTACGGGAAGTTGTTAATTAAAAAGGTGACCCAGATAAAAAAACGGTACACAACTGAACGATGTCATGGAAAAAGGAGCTAAAAGTGCTGGCTAAGCCTTACTATTGGGTTAACATACTTCTGGCCATATCGTATCTGGTGTCAAAGAAGACGAATGTGATATGCACGCGCCTTTTTCAGCATGCCAACCAGGAGGAGGACATCTGTGACATGGAAAGTCGCGAAGTGGAAATACTCTTCTTTCTGCTAATTGTTGTGATGATCCGATCACGTAAAACTGGAAGTGTTACTATGATCAACTATTTGACCTCGTCGTTTCTCTACACAAAGGTGGCAAATATGATTTTATGGGCCTATGCAGATTTTCGATATGGATTGGGTTTTCTGTTGCTCTGCGTGCTCGTTGGAATGCTGTTGCCAGAGCCTTCGTATCGTGGCCCAGAGCATATAACCTACTTCCGTACTGCCCAAACCTTCGAGGAGGAGCTAGTGAGGGATAAAAAGGTTAGCTGGTTAATATGTTTCTACACCGTTTGGAACCCGACCTGCGTGAATTTTGCACCGATCTTTGCGGAGCTGTCGGCGGAATATAATGCGAATTTATTGAAATTTGGTAAAATCGATATTGGACGCTTCCCAGATGTTGCGGCCAAATATCATATCTCAGACAGCAGCTTCTCGAAGCAATTGCCTACGTTAATACTCTTCCAGCAGGGCAAGGAGGTGGAGCGTCGTCCTTGCGGCGATGCCAAAGGAAAGTTGCAAAAGTTTTTCTTCTCCAGCGATAATGTGAGAGCATGCTTTGGCTTAAACCAGCTCTACAAACAGGCTGTCGAGAAGCAGATGCCTGTGGAGTCTAAGAAATCCAAATAGTTGAGCACACGAGAAGGGAAACAAATGAAGTGTCATCCCATTGTAAACCCAAAAAGCGCAAACATGTGTCATCGAATTGCAATTTGTTTTGTACGTGCTAATAGTTTAGTTTTTAGTTCATTTTTTAATTTATTTGATCATTGCACAAAATGTAACAAAGCTCGCTGGCACGTACATACAACTATGTAGAAGCCCAAAGCGTTGCCGTTGCCATTGGCTAAATTATTATTTGTAGTCAAATTCAAGTCATAAATTGTAATTAATAAAATTCTTTAAGCTGTTTAAGTGTACTGAGTTCATCTGGTTCGTCTTGTCTCGTGTTCTTAATTCATTTAAACTAACATTTCCGTTGTTAATATAGTCTGCGGACAACTTGCTTATGATACATTATATATACATATGTATGAATTTAGGTATAAATTCTAGCTTCTTTTAACAGTAAGTGCTTATGTTACTGAACATGAATTAAATGTAATTTTAACATACTGGATAAACTTGGAGCCGGCTAACAGTGCCTCAGGATATTCGGATAATTATTTACTTTACTCCCAGTTGATAAGGAATACCCACATTGGTTAAGGTTTGCACGAAATCTATGAAGTCTTGAGCCGAGAGTAAGCTTTCCGCTGGCAGAAACAAGTTTTATTGTCTATTTAAATATTTGAAAAGGAATTTAGAGTAACAGACGAAAATAGTTGAAGACTTTGTCAATGCTTGAAGACGGGTACGTAATCGTTTTGACTATCGAGTAAATATATCGTATTTTAATCGAAAATTTAGTACATCCAATTTACGTTGGCGGTTGCTCTATCAGCTTATCGACTTAACATACACAATTCTAATTTCATATAAATGTTAAACTCATTTTGGCACTGTAAGCAAAAAGTTTTTATTTCTTTAATATTACAAGCATAATATGATATACTCTGTCAGAATAAATCATTTAAAACAATATCAATTTTGTTAAAGATTTAATCAACGAGTACTATCATTACTATAACTTTTTGCTGGCATTTTTCGAATTTATTTTCTTATTTTTGATAATAAGTACACACTGCTCAACAGCTGTTTTGTCAAATAATTCTTCGTTTGGAAATAATTACGTAAATTCGGCAGGTTAGTAAATTAATGGATACATTAATGCATTAATCGTGTAAACAATTGCCTAGCAAATTCAAAATGCTGTTGAGAAACGCTTAATGTGTATCACATTGCCTAAATCGCAATATAAAAACACTTGGATAATACCAGAGCCATGGACAACATCTTCGGATTTATATGTGATTATTATTTAAATGTTTTCTTTTTTTTGCATTTAGGCAACTATGTCGATCTTACGTTCCAAGTACTACGACCATCCTGATGGCGAAGATGCCTTTGGAAAGATTGTGGCCACAAACAAATACGCCATTGTCACAGGCTTGGCGTGGTCCACATTTGACGTGTTAACTCTTACCAAGCCACAGGGCTACATACCCACACTGGGACGCTTCGCCTACAACACGGGTCCACTGATGGGCATGGCTACAGCATTTACGCTAACTACGCTTGCTGCTACAAACATACGAGGAAAGGATGATAAGTACGATGAGTTAGCTAGCAATGGATTGGAATATTTATTAGTTGATTGCTTCCATTTGCAGAATAAATTATCTGATTGGAGGCTTTGCTGCCGGCAGTATCTTTGGAGCTTGGAAGCACAGTCATGTATCTGGCCTGGTTGCTGGTCTGTTCCTTGGTAAGTAGACAACGTAAAATGTAATGCAACGTAACGTTATATTGAGTGTAACATGACGTTAGTATAAGGTAAAGTTATTTGAATATAATGTGACGTTGTTTCGCCCAAATGTAGCATTATTTGAATACAACTTAACGTTATAAAAATATACGCAACGTTATATGAGTATACGTAACATTATATGAATTTAACGTAACGTTATATGAATAAACAGCGTTATACTAATTTGAGCCAACGCTATTTATAAAACAACGTAACGTTTCTACATAACTTACTTTTTATTATACGTAATGTAACGATTTATTAAACTTCTAAATAATTCTAGGCATCGCTGGTGTCATCAAGAAGATGTCGATTGAACAGGGCTGGGAATTCTTCCCTGATTCACCCACGCATCAATACGGTGGCGTAAATATTGCCATCAATGATTACACCCTTACGGCCGAGCGTGCCAAAAACTGGACCGCGGAGAAGGAGAAGAAATAGAGCGAATTAAAAAAACTTTAAATGGTTAAAAACTCTTACGTGTTTTTAGTAATTAATGTACAGATGAGAAACGGGCAACTGTGTAGTTTACAAAACAAGTGACTGCAAATGAATAAATGCCAAGTGAGAAGTGATATCTAAAACATTTGTCAGTAACATCAAGCGGGCGACGAAAAGAAATCGCGCTAATAATATGCAATGAAAAGAAAGAGGAGAGAACTTAACTTTAAGCATGTCACAAAAAGCACTTTTCAGCACATTGGCGCGAATTATTGGAGCCAAAGCCAAAGAGTCACTGATCACATAACAGTCAACAGTCAGCAACAGTAACAATAACAACAACAAGAAATCATTTTCGGAACCCAGTCACGCTCACAGTTAAGCCAACAGTTTTTGTTTTTGCTTTGTTTTCTGATTCTCTGGCGGCCCATTTCAAAATTCATGAATGTGCACTTCGTCATTTTGGGCATTTTCTCTTATGCCTCTTTTTACCTTTCTTAAGCGTGACCGTGACTCATGCAGCATGTATCTGTAGCTACCTCCATATGTATATGTTTGTCTATCTGTGACAACGCACGCATAAGCATAATCGTAAAGTTTTAAGCTGGCTTTTCGATTGAAACGAGCCAAGCACATTAAAGCTCTTAGCTATGTTGGCTAAGTGCACATGCTTCGAGGGCCTAAACAAATTAGCTGCTAAGGTGTTACTAAATAAACATTATTAGGTTTTAATGAAGTTCCGGCGAGCGTTAGAGAACAGGTTTTTTCGGCGCACTGAGAAAATCTTCAGGAAATGCCATCAATTTGCTGCGAATTGGTAAGTTGGGGCATTTCCTGTTTGCCAGTTGGAAATGTACTTGTTTTTTACGCTTTTCGCTTTCTTAACCTTTAGCAAATTGGAAATTGCACTGCCAGCAACTGTTCAAAACGCAGATCTTCTTCTGTCTTGAGCATGAATAATCGCAGCTGGGAAACGAGATTGCGTCTGAGAAAGCATGAGGGTTAAGACCTCTGCGTTTTTAGTGTTTCATAAATTTTGCGGTTTCATTGTGGCCAACAACGTGTTCTCTGCTAACTTTTTGGCTTTGTATCTGTGAGTGACCTCTAAGCTGTTAACCGTTAAGCTTGCATTACGTCAGTAATGGTCTCTCTACTCAATTCTCAATTTGTTGTTTATATTACGTATTAACGTTCATGAAACGTGAGCGCTTAAATGTGCGAAAGTTCAAGCTCAATGAATAATTTAAATTATTAATTATACATTTTGTTAAAGCTCTCACTGGCTATAGGGCTATGTATATGTGTCGTTCTCTCCTACAGTTAATCAATCAATATTTTTGTACTCGTTCGTGAAATGAAGGAAAGTATATTAGTTTTCTGAAGTGCCTTGAGAGACTTGACTGCAAGGGCAATTCAAATATATTTTATATATTTTTGTATATATATTTACGCCAGCTGAAATCACATATAAACTATTTTCAGCGCTAGGATAAGTTAGATCATAGAGCAACCATTCCTAATTCTCGCGAAGATCTCAAAAAAATTCTATAATTTCTCTTAGTCCATGCGCCCAATGGACAGATCATATCAGTCTTGGGTCTATCTTCCTTCAAATGAATTATTTATAATTTTTTTTATTTATAATTTTTGACTTTGGCGGGCATTAAGCAGCCGCTTGCCTAGTCCAGTTGCAATCGATCCGCTTAGCTTAGCTAAAGATCTGTTGATATTTAATGCTAACTTTTGATTTGCATTTTAAATTGATCAGTTGTAAAAATATATATAGAAGCTCTAAGCATATAGTGGGCTAACCTAATGAATACTGAGCGAGTGCTTCGAGTGTTTCACCTTGATCTTTGTGCACGTTTCCCCCTTTTTGCGTTGCAGGCGCGCAAACCAGTTGAGCAGCTTGCGCGAGCTCCCGAGAGAGTTGAAGTGCGCCAAGTCCCGCCGGTTCCGCCAGTGCTGCCAGCGCTGCCAGTCACTGAAGCTGACTAATCTCTGGCAGCTGCTCCACTTCGTTGTCTGGGTCTTTGGCGTGCAGCCGCAGCCATAGTTGGGTTTCCAGCTGTCACGAGTCGGACATGAGCATGAGCATGAGCATAAACTCTGCGATCGGCCTGTGATTTATTGGATGCTTTGCGCATTCGTACGGTTGTCTTGGGCGATGACATCATCATCGTCATTGGCATTGGCAAAAAAACAATCATTAAACACTACAACAAATTGCATACTTTAGCGAAACATTTGCGAATTTCACTTTCTGCCGTTGACAAGGAGCAGTAAAGCAAACGAGTCGCCCGAGACTCACATGTGTATATATATATCTATAATGTCCAGCTATATACACTCATATTTCTACTCACAAAATGGTTAAGCGACCCTTAATGGCACTTTTCACTAATTGGCGTAACGCCGTTTGGGCCCGACCCTCTATTAAAAGTCAATTATTTGCGCCCCTGATGACACTTATCCAGCAGAGCTCGCGTGTCAATAGGATACAAAGACTAAATATATGCAAATGTCTGGCCAGGATTACAGCTGAAGGTCCCAGGGGATGGTCCAAAATGTATTTGTAGTTTATGAATATTGTTCAGGAACTTAAAGCTTTCAAATTGATGGAGTCACTTCAAAACACAATGGAATACTTCAAGTTTCTAATTGTCATGTCAAAATATTGTGCCCTATTCGAAGTGTGTGTGTGTGTGAGTGTGTGTGTTGGCTCTTGGCTGAGGCGTTCGTAATTAATCTTATTACGACTGGCTGCCTCAGTCTATGCTGGCATTTATGGAATTGCGACTCGAGCGGACTCCGTCGCGCATTCACATCTTGTAATCCTTTTAATAAACCCGCGCAGCTCACGCGACACCAACGTCAATTAATCACCAAGATCAGGCCGGAGATGGGCAATGCATGTGCGTCGCGCTGCCACAATGCACATCCATCCTCATCTATGGACGAGGCGGCGGCGGCAAAACACAATTCTGCAATTAAAGATCTGCGACAAGGCAGCCCGTAGCACAAAAGAATACACGCACACACACACTAATACACTAATACAGTTGCCAGCACACACACATATTCACACAGATACTCTTGCAGCTGCAAGCAGTTGCAAGTACCGCACACAGTTGCCGCTGTTGCTGCTGCTGTTGCCGCTGTTGTCATTCAATCGGTGTCAAACTCCAACGACTCGGCGTCGCACAGTGGCTCAAAATAGTAATAAATGTTTTATTAAAAAATAAAAAGAAAAAAATAAAACATTGTAAAATAAAAATCTTCAACAAAAAATATTTTTCAAATATATTTTTTCAAGTTTTTGTCATATTTTTTATATTTAATTATTTTGATCTCATTTCCGAAGAATCTGGCAAATACATTTATAGCTCATTAACTTTTTGAAATATATATTAAATCAGAAATAAATTCTATAAATGTTTATAATAACCTTAAAATATGGCTTTAGCAATAAATATGGTGAAAACATTTTTAGAATTTATTCTAATTATTTTTTTGATTTTTAATTTCTTTAATAAAGAAATATTTATATTTTTGAAAGCTTTATTATATGTAAAAAATTATATAAATATTATTCAATGGAGAACCATGTCTTAAAAATACTTTTAGTATATTTTAATTATTAAATAGATTTGAAAAATATATATTGAATTTATTATTTAATTTATATTTAATTTTAGAAATATTTTATTTAGTTATAGAATTAATTTTCAATATATTTAAAAACATTTTTTTTTTATATTTTTTTAAAGATCAACATATGCACTTTTGCACCACTGTGCTTGAGCACACATCAGATGATTTAGCTACTGGCTATGTGGATACATATAAGCATAAAGATCTTTGGGGCCAGGGACACAATCCATCAGTGTTTGCATCTAAAGTATTGTGCAGCTGCAGCGGGCGATGGTCAAGAAGACAGAGAGCGAGCGAAAGATACTCTGGGAGAGAGAGAGACAGAGAGCATTGAGAGAGAGAGAGAGAGCGAATGCGATTTATGTTTGTCGTTGCAATGACATTTCTGTGTAGCTGCCGGCCAAACACAGGCAACAGAAAACGAGAGACGACGGGAAATGAAAGGCAGCAGCAGCGGCAGCAGCTCGAGATGAGATGAGATGCAAATGCAGAGTCGTTGGAGAGTCTTCGTATCAGATTCACTTAACCCGATCGGCGACAGCCAGCACCGACATGGGGGTCATAAGTGCAAAGTAAATAAAGTACATATTTCTCAGTTAGGCAGCGAGAGGCAGAAGATGATTGTGGAGATGCAACAAATAAAGTGATTGAATGCATTTGGCAGCTGTGGGAAGCGAGGAGGGTGCAGGCAGACCGAGGCCAGAAGATTGAAGTGATTGTGAATGGGAAAGCGATTGATGCTGGGCCAGCGACAATAGCACGCGTTTGGGGTCTCCTTGGGGTTCCTCTGCCTCTCCCTCTCCTTTTCTCTTTCTCTTTCTCTTTTGGAATCTTCAGTTGGATAACAACATTGGAAACCGGTCGCTCAGCTACTCCAACGACAGATTGATTTCTTTTTCGTTTCCTTTTCGCATCCATCAATTGTGGCAGCACTTTTGCTGCTCAAGTTGCAACAAGCAAGCCGATCTCAATATGCCCACCCATACCCTGTAGCACCACATATATACTGCTCCAGTCTATAAGCATATGTTTTATCGTTCTCTGGAATGCCTGGGCCCTGTCGAGTGGGCCGATGCTCATGCTCCAGTTGTTTTGATTGACATCTAGCAATGGACCGCGTTGACAATAAAATGTTGCAATGCCCGAGAAGCTCAACACCATTCGAAGATCGGCCACAGGGTGTTTCCCTGCGAAGTTTCTGTTGTCTTCCTGCTGTGAGCCACCCTAATGTGGCTGCAGATGGCAATGTTTATGGGCGGCAAGTTTGTAATGAATTTCGTTTGGGATTTGATCATAAATTGAGGGAAATTGTGGCACATAAGCGACGCAAAATGCGAATGCATAAATCAAGTGAAAATTCGTCTCAGTCTCTGCGAGGCATAGATGCATGCAACATTTGTTGCAAATGAACTGCGACACTTGCTGTTGCAACAGAGCAGCGTCTTCAATTATGACTCTGCTGCAGCTGCTAATTTACTTTGTCTTTCAC